GTTGGTCAGTCTATAATGTAAACATACAATTAACATTGAAATGCTTAAAGTTTGCCCTTCATCAGATCACACGTGAGTATCATCATTTCCCAAAGCTTTGAAAAGTTATATTGATATTAAATTTGCCCTTCACCACTAGATCACGCGAATATCCTTTCCCAAAACTTTGAAATTCTGCTATATTTTCCAAGAAATCTGTTTCAACACGAATCACGCCTTAATCCGCATACCATATGAATAAAGACAAGTAGTCTAAGTACATTACGCGTGAACTATAGAAATAAATGCATGCAGCAACTGTCTCTCCATTTTAAACCAAACCGTTAAAAGAGTAATGTAGTGACATTTGATCATTTGCTTTAGCAAAATTCAAATTACACTTTAAAATACCGTTTTTCAAGTTAAATCGTTTGTGTAATAGTCTTTCATTGTCCGTCATGTCTAACCAAGCTCATATTTGTATAATAAACTAACTGTATCCTTACGGCCAAGTTTCAGCATTTCTAGTTGGAAAAGCCTTGTTTGGGACGAAAAATGTCTTAAATTTGAGAAAGAGTATTGAACGTTGAACATCCTCCCTGGTATTTTTTGTTTGCGCTCTTGGGTGGCCATTACTTTCTTTTGACCATGAGCATAAAGCACAAAACCGTTTTCCGTATTTCCGCATATGTGCATCAGGAAGTGAAATATGCAAATAATAGAGATAATAAATTAGTTTGAACCTTAGTTTGAACGGCTGAGGGTGTATGCAGTCGTTCAAGCATTAAATTTTACACGGCAAACGTGAAACACATATATGGCAAAGCTTAATTAGCTGCTTTTCTAAATACACCAGAAATAGCCTATTGCTTTCTTACATAACTGCTGAACATCACAAGTTTTATGTAGAACGTTTGTAATTTAGCGAAATCGCCGCACACTTAAAGATAGTGGAGTTAAAACACATACTTTTCTAGCGGTTTGGGGTTGGTCGTAAACGTCAAACTAAAGGTCTGTATATAATTATGATTTTTGGCACTTCACTCCATGCAGGAATATTCTAGAGGTTTAAGGGTCTTGATTTCGAGTGGCATTATACACACTTCAAATTCAAGCCAGGAACAGTTGATGGAAAAATGAGTCAACTTTCATCGACATGACTTACATTCCCAAATAAATATATTGGCTTGTGTTACTGTAGTTCATACATCGTTCTGTTTGTTCATTTACAGTATACGACCAAGAAGTTCATTTCTCTACCTGCTTAGAAGCATCAAGCATTTTATACCTCTGGTAAGTTTTTTTTTTAACATGTTACGTATAGTCATATAAAACCGCACCGAAGCCTGGAGGATAGTCAATTTGAAGCCTACATCAGTGCAATACAACTCGTTCTCAACATTGATGTTTCGGTTATTCTGCAATCTGCCTGCCTTTATACATGTTGATTAAGCCATAGTTAATAATGTTAAGTTGAGAGCGATAAATGGAGTAAGTAAGTAGCTATATTCAACAGCAGTCAATAGTCTAATCACCAGATCACACGAATATCATCTCCAAAACTTTGAAATTCTGCTATATTTTCAAAGAAACCTGTCTCAACGCGAAACGCGCCTTAATCCGCATATTATATGAATCAAATGAAGTTCGAAACGGGTAGTCTAAGTATATTACGATAAACTATAAATAAATCATTGATGCATCAACTGCATGTCACGACGATTTTCAAACCAAACTGTTAATAGCTAAAACAGTAAACATATTCGAGGACTAAACGTCAAATGTTATCTCTAGAGTATCAGTTTCAGTTATTGGAGTCGACTCTTAAAGCTATGCAGTGACATTTGGTCATTTGCTTTATTAGCAAAATTCAAATTAACCTACATTTCAAAGAACTATTTTTGAAGTTAAAGCGATGGTGCATGTGATAATATATTAGTCTTTCATTGTCAGTCATGATGTCTTTGCAAAGAGACATACAGTACAAATTAACTCATATTTGTAGAGTAAACTAAGTAACCGCATTAGTTCCGAACAAACAAAATAGTAGCCTATTTGTTTAAAATACTTATAATTAAGACACTAAAATTTCAACAAGGCGCCTGCTGTGGTGTTAAATCCGGCGTGCGTGTCAGTTCTTTCATTAGAAAGTTTACGATCACGCATATATATATATATATAGTTAATCACAAAAACATAACGTTTCGACTTTATTATCTTTCTCAAGTAAACTAAATATTACAGGCTTCTACTTTTATATACCTACCTATAGATTAAAATTAGCATACATAGGTACATTGTCTTAAGTCTGTCGATCCAATACTTTTCCCTAATTGTAGGTTCTGCCGGATTAGTTTTATGAATGATAACTATCTCACAATCATTAACTAAACCATTGTGCTCTTTTGTTAGAAAATGTGAATGAAAAAACGCTTGTGTGTGGTCCCGATTGCAAATCGCTTTCTTTTGACATGCTTTATAATTATTCCATCTCAAACGAAATTTATCCGTTGTCTGACCAACATATTGTTTACTACATACTTTACATGTAAGGAGATAAATCACACACTTAGAGTCACAGTTAAAGCGATGGTTCACTACATATTGTTTACCATTAGCTGTGCATCTAAAAGTGTCGGTCTCCTTTATGTTATGACATGTCAAGCATCTAGGTTTCTTACATTTTTTACATCCCTTTTCCCTGATTAATGGTGGTACTTTCGCTTTAACCAAATAGCTTCTTAAATTCCGACCAGTTCTAAATGCCGCAAAAGGTTCTGGGGTGAATACTTTACGAATACTAATCCGGCAGAACCTACAATTATAGGGAAAAGTATTGGATCGACAGACTTAAGACAATGTACCCCTCTGGGTTGAATATTGAAATGGATAACTATGTATGCTAATTTTAATCTAGGTAGGTATATAAAAGTAGAAGCCTGTAATATTTAGTTCACTTGAGAAAGATAATAAAGTCGAAACGTTAATATGTTTTTGTGATTAACTTATAAATGGCTTTTTGCCAGGTGATTGCCCTAGCGAACAATATATTCAAAATTTTGTAATATTTGATTTTATATATATATATATATATATATATATATATATATATATATATATATATTAATATAAATAAAATCAAATATTACAAAATTTTGAATATATTGTTCGCTACACTCTGCATGTGTTTCACGTTTCTTCTGAAAAGATCATCAGGCGAATGATTACTCTACATCGGTGTCACAGCTGGTACGTTCAAGACCAGATACTACAACCACAAGAAATCCATAAACAACCCAGCCTACGAATGCGAAACTGAACTATCAAAGCACACATGGAACCTAAAAAGACTAAACAAACCATTCAACATCAAGTGGACAATAATCAAATGCGTTCCGGCTTACTCAGCGGGCGGACGGTCATGCAACCTGTGCCTGGAGGAAAAAATGGCAATTCTTAAATCCTCGAAGGAGACGACATTAAACAAAAGAAGTGAACATTTCGCAAAATGTAGACATAAAAACAGATTCAGCGCAAAAAACTTTAAACGCGCGCGCAATTTTTGAATTGTATCAGCGCAAGCACGTCAAAAACGTCATCACACAAACTTTAACTGCTGTAGAGTAATCATTCGCCTGATGATAGTTTCAGAAGAAACGTGAAACACAGAGTGTAGCGAACAATATATTCAAAATTTTGTAATATTTTATTTTATTTTAATCGCTCTATTAAATTTTGATATCGAGCACTCTTTCTTCTTGGATACTTTACTTAATTGTATATATATATAAATATATATATTATATTATATATTTAATATTATATATATATAATATATTATTATATATATATATATATATATATATATATATATATATATATATATATATATTGGTAACAAACGCAGTCAATTAGTTATTTTGTTCCTTATACGTTACGAAACACAACGCGCTAGGGTAACACATCAATTTTGGCGGCATCAACCTTCGTCATATTTTTAAATTGAGAATAGAAAGCTGATTGGCTCTTTTTAAACGACAGCCAATCAGCTTTCTATTCTCAATTTAAAAATATGACGAAGGTATAGGCAAGGTGTCCCCAGCATAGGTTTTGAAATATGTTTGCCAGAAACCATAAAAACATTCACGTTTTATACATGCATAGGAATACATTTGAATGCTAAAAATATAGTATAAATGTAGTAAAATTATTCAAGTTTAATGTGTTGTACTTTTTTTTTTCTTATTCGCCATATTTTTATGAAATATTTGCGGTTTTGTGAAAGTGTTTGGGTCAACCGTCGTGCGTTTTTAGCTTATTTGGCGTGAGAGTTGCCTACCTTGTCATAATATAAGACTGTTCAGACAACATGAGCGTATAACAACTTGATGCTATATCTAACCGGCGTACAAGAAATATATTGAATCAAACCTTTTGCAAACTTCGGCAAATATAATTTGAGTGTTTACATTCTATAGGGCTAAAAAGGAAGGATGAACAACGAAGAAATGAGTGATATAAGGAATACTAGTCTTTGGGATGTCTTCACGAGTGAATTGGGTACCGGTATTGATTTGAAAACAGTAAAAGACTTAGTTGAAAATGGAGCTGACGTGAATAGTACAAATCAATGTGGTGAAACTGTGCTCTATTTTGCCATAAGGTCAAATTCCGTTGAAATAACAAAGTATTTAGTGGAACAAGGCGCCGATGTTAATTGGAATGATGATGTTGGCTTGACGCCTCTTTGCTGTGCTGCACAAAATAACTCATTGGACATAGCAAAGCATTTAGTAGAACATGGTGGTGATGTAAATTGGAAAGATTATTTAGACAGGCCACTTCTCTACTACGCTGTGCATTATGGCACTTTGGACATTGTAAAATATTTAGTAGAATATGGTGCTCATGTTGATCCCAGAAATTGCAACGACAGTATACTTCTCAACAATTCTGGATATGTCAAAAGTTTAGGAAAACAAGCAGACTCTGTCAGTCAATGGGATGATGATGGCGATGATAACAACAGACCAATCCTCTACTATGCTGTACAATCTCGTTCACTAGACGTCGTAAAATTTTTGGTAGAACATGGTGCTGACGTCACATGGAAAGATAACATCGATAGGCCACTTCTCTACTACGCCGTGCAATTCCGTTCTTTTGAAATCCTTCAGTATTTAGTGGAACAGGGTGCTGATGTGAATTGGAAAGATGATAATAACATGTCACTTCTCTACTATGCTGTACAATTTCGCTCGTTAAACATTGTCAAATACTTAGTGGAACATGGCACTGATGTCAATTGGAAGGATAAGAACGGCAGATCACTTCTCTACTATGCCGTTACATTTAATTCACTCGACATTATCAAATACTTTGTGGAACATGGTGTTGACATCAGTTGGAAGGATAATAAGAACATGCCTCTTCTCTACTATGCTGTACAATCTCGCTCATTAGACATTGTCAAATATTTAGTTGACCAAGATGCTGACGTCAGTTGGATTGATAAGAATGGCTGCTCACTTCTTTACTGGGCTGTACAATTTCGTTCGTTAGACATTGTCAAATATTTAGTGGATCAAAACGTTGATGTCAAGTGGAAGGATAATAACGGCAGCCCGCTTCTCTACTATGCTGTACAATCACGCTCATTAGACATTGTCAAATATTTAGTAGAACATGGCGCTGATGTCAAATGGAAGGATAATAGTGACTGGTCACTTCTCCATTATGCTGTTCAACTTCACTCGTCCAACATTGTCAGGTATCTTGTGGAACGTGGTGCTGATGTTAATGGGAAAGATTTTGACGACAGACCACTTCTCTACTATGCTGTGCGATATGGCTCATTATCCATAATTAGGTACTTAGTGGAACATGGTGCTGATGTAAATTGGAGTGATGACAATGACGTGACGCTTCTCTACTATGCTGTAAAGAATGGTTCACCAGATATAGTCAAATACCTACTGGAACATCGGGCCTCCGTCGATTGGAAAGATGATCATGACAGACCACTTCTCTTCTATGCTTTGCAGGGTGGCTCATTAGACATCACACGACACTTGGTAGATCATGGTGCAAATCTTAACTGGATAGATTATGATGGTAGGCCACTTCTCTACCACGCTGTAGCCTCTAACTTCTTGAATATTGTTGAATATCTAGTAAAACATGGTGCTGATGTCAATATGAATGATAATTACTTCAGACCTCTTCTCTACTATGCGGTACAATCCCCTTCATTAGACATTGTCAAATATTTAGTGGAACGTGGTGCTGATGTCAGTTGGAAAGATCAAGATGACCGTCCACTTCTCTACTATGCTGTACAATATCGGTCATTAGACATTGTCAAATATTTAGTAGAACGTGGTGCTGATACTAATTGGAAAGATCGTAATAACATGTCATTTCTCTACTATGCTATTCAATTTTGTTCGTTTAAAATTTTTAAGTATTTAGTGGAACGTGGTGCTGATATCAACTGGATCGATGGTCATGGCCTGTCACTTCTCTACTATGCTATACAGTTTCGATCGATTGAAATCTTCAAGTGTTTAGTGGAGCGCGGTTCTGATCTCAACTGGGTCGATGGTTATGGCTTGTCACTTCTCTACTATGCTATACAATTTCGATCGATTGAAATCGTCAAATGTTTAGTGGAGCGTGGTGCTGATGTCAATTGGAAAGATCGTAACGGCATGACACTTCTCCAGTTTTCTGTAATTGAATGTGGCCAATTAGACATTATCCAATATTTAGTAGAGCATGGTGCTAATGTCAATTGGAAAGATAATAATGGCACACCACCACTTTACTATGCTGTAGAAACTTGCTTAATTGACGTTGTCCAATATTTACTGGAACATGGAGCTAATGTCAATTGGAAGGACAGAAACGGCAGGTCACTCCTCCGCCTTGCTGTAAAATATGGCCATTTAGACATTGCCCAGTGTTTGGTGAAACATGGAGTCGATGTCAATTGGAGAGATAATAGTGGCAATACACTACTTCGCTATGCTGTAAAATCTGGTAAATTAAGCATTGTTCAATGTCTAGTGGAGCATGGTGCCAATGTGAATTGGGATGATACTAACACCATGAAACTTCTCTACTTTGCTGTACAAATTTGCTCATTTGACATTGTAAAATATTTAGTGGAACTTGGTGCTGATGTCAACTGGAAAGATAGTAACGGCAGAACACTACTCCGCTGTGCTGTACAAAAGGGCCAATTAGACATTGTGCAACTTTTAGTGGGACATGGTGCTGATGTTAACTGTGAAGATTGCAACTGCAGGACACCTCTCCGCTATGCCATACAACATGGCCATTTGCACATCGTCCAATATTTAGTGGAACGTGGTGCTGATATCGATTGGAAAGATGCTAACAACAGGACACTTCTCTTCTCTGCTGCAAAATGTGGCAAACCTCACATTGTCCAATATTTAGTGGAATATGGACATGGTGCTGATATCATTTGGGAAGATACGAGCAGCGTTGATTTCAACGATACTAAACAGACTCCCTCGTCTGTCACTCGAAATGATGATCAAGGTAATTTCTCTGTTTGTAAAGAAGGGGATTTTTAAAGACGTTTTGGTATTTATTTGGGAGCAGTATATTTTGTTAGGTCTTCTTCACTCATAGGGAATAATTTTTCATTCTTTGTTCCTTCAAATCTTTTCATCTTTTTACCAGTATAAATTTGGATAAAAAATTTTCACATAGCCCGCAAAAAATAAACTCTTACGTTGTGTACATACAAGCTAATTTACTTTTTTGATGTCACCATTAGCCTCGACCCCAAACTCTTTGAGGTATTTTCACGGATAAAGCACTGAACGCGCGGCAAAACTTGATAATTTTACTAAATTTAGTATGCGCTTTTCGGAAATTTTCTTTTTGTTGCCTAATTCAAAATTTGGTCTGATATGCAAAAGGTCCATTGCCGTCTTCCTGATCAACAGGGCAGCCGTTTTCAATCATTTCAATTTCCCAGATGTAACCCAGATTGGGTTAGGTTGAGATATGCAGACGGGTTGTTCATATATCGAGAGCGCCCTTAAAGTGCCTATATCACTTGGGATCTTTACGGATTTGAATAGGGCTTGAAAATTTTTTTTATAAGTTCTACAACCTTTTTTGATATAAATAAATAGTTTCAAAAATACGACGGTTGGGGGGACTGGGAATCAAGAATGATTTGCAAACACGCCTTCCTTTATAATATAAACATGAAGAGTTTCACTGGCGATATAGTTTGCGCTTTTCAAGAAAAAAATGAGGGAACGGTGCGTTGTGTATAGCTGTGGCAACTGGGCGAGTTTTTCTCAAAATATTCACGTTATCAGAAGATCGAAGTAAAATTACAATTGATTATATTATGTTTGACAAGAACTCGGTTCCTGAGTCCCAGGTCCCCGAACACGACGGAAATTTAGGCAAATCGTCATGTTTAGATGTTAATATTTCCGAAACTATTTAACTATATGAAAAAGGGTTGTAGAACTATAAACTAATTTTTCAAGCTCTATTCAAATCCGTAAAGGTCCCACATGTGATATAGGCACTTTAAGTTTTTTACTATCCATGGATCCCTAGTCACCTGCAGACGTTAAAGCCATTATATAATACATCGGAATTGACCCTTTAATGATAATCAGTCGATATAGTCCTAATGACAACTCTGACGAACCTTTCACCAAAAGTAAAGCCCTGGTCAAACGAGAACGATAGTTGATGAGAGTTGAGAAGCAAGAGTTCGCATGAGAGTTTTCCAAACTCTCGATGCGACGGTCAAACGAGATTGAGAGTTGATGAGAGTTGAGAACGAGAGTTTAGAACTCTCATCAACTCTCATCAAAATTTGAACCAAATTGAACCTAATTTGAGAGTTGATGAGAGTGCGCGAGAGTGTTCAACTCTAAACATTTGCTATTCCTGGAATCGCTTTGTATTTTAGACGACAGCCTTTATGGTAGTCTCGAGGCGTCTGTGCTTTTATCTGTAGACCCGATATAAAGATTGCTATAGTTCCATAATATTTTCCAACATTTATTAGTAAACATTTTGCATTTTGTATTTTGTGTCCACACAATATCGTTCCGAAATCGCGTAATTCATGCGGATGTGAAAGACCTTATAACTTAAAAGTGTATGTGTAACAGTTTGTTTATAATGTTTTTTCAATTCTTGATCTTTAGAAATCAAGCACGAAATAAATGAAACAATTAAGAAAGAAAGTGATTACGAGAGAGGTCCACAAGTCAATGTAACGGACGCTACGCCAAATCGTGAAATGGCTACTCAAGGTACTTCATATCAAACATTTTTAAAATAGAAAGACTGCCAGCTTCATATCAGCAGTACACTAGGATAGGGTTCAAACTCAATTCTACGCAGTCATAAATTTTTGGAGAGTTAAACTTAAAAAATTAAGCCCTAAAAAAATCATAGAGCATGAAGAAACTTGGGTGTTTTGGAAACCCGAATGTAATAATGTCTGACCGTTCGGCCCAATTACCATAATGCGGAACATGTATAGGAACTCTTTATTCAATAGCCATCCTACATGATTGCGATCTATAAACTAAGAACTGTGCTTATGAGAACTTTGCTTTAGAAGAAACGTTCTCCATAACTGCATTATATTTTGATGTAGGCGATGCATCGAAATATGTTCAGTAAGCACCTTGTTAGTTGTGAATGATGTTAAGGTGTTTTTATAATACTGGAAATCATTGTTTTCCTAGAAGATGAAGAAGAAAAAGACAGAACAGAAAATAATAAGGAGACAAATTTCTTTGAAAAAACTTTCCTTGATTCTGAATACAACATTAAAAAAGACGTTCATGAAAAACTTCAAAGGTATATCATGTCTTAAAATTATTTAGTTGCGAATCCTTTTATTTCTTTTAATTGCAATCCTATGCCCAATACTTGCTTGCGAGGTGTATGGTAGCCCCTACTACATACAATCTGAAAATATGTGTTTTTCGCAATTTTACAACAAAGAAGGATGTTCGTTGCAATTACTTCACCTTTGTCTTACTCTGTTTTCATTATTCTGCTAGCTTAATAATATTGAATGGAGTAGGTTGTTTTCCTGCTACAACTGAATTATTTATCGCTCCTTGATATACGAGCTCACAAACATTTTTTTCATTTTAACAGCTTTTCTTGGCTGCAAGGAGCGTATGGTGTAATGGGCCCTAATAAGAAATTTCCACATCCTCGTCTTTATCTGACAGTCGAAAGAGGAAAAAAGAAGTCCGAAGTGTTGAAGGAAATCAAACAGAAATTCAATTGTGATCCAAAGAAATACTTTGAACTTTTTCGCGAACCTGAAGCAAAACCAAAGTTTAAATATGTATCAAAACCAACATCTGGAGGTGGCATTGTTGCTGTCAATAAATCAAAAAACCCTTTACGGGCGAAACATGATGACGGAGACGAGATCGAAGACGAAATCAAAAACGAAACAAGAAAAGCCTCAGGAACATTAACCATGTTTTGTGCCAAGAAAGGTGACAGCCATTACGCGCTCACCTGTTTCCATGTTGGTTGTGTCACAGATCAACATTTATTTAATGAAACCTTTAACCCGGAAGGGTTTTTGGATCTTCACAATTGTTTCGATCATTATGCGAATTATGCGAAGGACCAACACAAATACTTTTATCGGACAAAAAAAGCGGAGGGTAATGATGAAAATAGAAACGCTGTTGAACCAGAGAGCTATGTCCCGCTTGGAACGATGTCGAAATGTTTCTTCACAAGTGATTGTGATATTATGTCAATAGAAGTAGGCGAGGGTGTTGAGGTTGATTGCAGAGTTGCGGATATAACGAGTCCAAATTGGAATACAATTTTCTCAGAACTTAACAGAAGAATGCTACAAATCGAGAACAAAGTTGAAGTGGAGAAAGTTGGCAACGAGCAGAATAGAGATGGAGGTTACATTTCTGAGTGCAACTTTTGCTACAGATGTAAAGGTGGAAATTTGTTCGAGGATGCAATCGTTGTCTGTGGAAATTCTGGCACATTTCTGGAGGATGGTGACTCGGGAGTGCTCGTTTGTTTTGTTGATAAGAACAAGAAGAAACAAGCATTAGCTTATGGCGTTTGCGAGGTAGATCAACTAAATGTGGAACAAATGAGCTCCGATGAAGAGGATTCAAGCGAGGATTCGTCTTCTTTTGATGGTGAACAATCCAGTTCAAATATCAGTGCAGAGAGTAGTGCTGATATTCCAACAGCTTCAAAATCCCCTAATAAAGAAGACGCAGAAGAACCCGATTCTGATGGTGATTCCATAGCGTTCGATAAACCACCGTTCTCCATATGTTTAAAGCTAAATACAGCTTTGCAAAAACTAGGCCTTTCAAATGCTGGATGTTATAATGAATGTGGTGCTAAGAAATAGTTTATAAGAATATACGTATACATTATACCCATATGGTTAATAATATACTAAATTTCACTACAGGAAAAAGTAAAGAAAAATTTATATTGTAATTATATATCATCGATGAAAATGACCCGTCCAACGACAATTACAACAAAATGGAAACCAGACTTCATGGTTGTGTTATGTATTAACGATAATAATTATAAGTAACGGATGGGATTTATTTGGAATATAGCGTTTGTAAATAAAGTAGGTTTCATGGACCTTTTGCTACCTCAACATAAACAGCGAAAGTTTTTAAATATTAAAGAAAAATAGCGCAAACCTACTAACTGTTGATAATTCAACCGCATACTGGCTGGCCAGCTGTGATCTGGATTAATGCAGTTACCCCACATTGGTAAATATGGAAGGAAACATACTAACCGCACTTCGTCTGGAAAGTAATACCCTGCTGATTCCCTACAAACTTACCAATCGTATCACTGCATGGGCTCTAATACTTTCCAAGAGCTAGCGCATCGCAATAAATAGAATGAAACCTACTCGCACATGTAGTAAATTATATATACTTGCACATGTAGCTACCATTTTATCATAGTTCACCTGATAGTGACGATAGTTTAGTGGAAACGTTTCTTTTTTACGGAGTTTCCTATGAATTTTATTAAAACTTACTGTACCTCCATGTTCAAAGTAAACGTCATTCATTTAGACACGCCATGCTGAAGGGAATTCATCTGACGTAATTCGTTAAATATATTCATTATAAAGAAAGGAAAAATCGTTGAATGCGCATAAATTACTATAAACGAGAAGGAAAACAAGAAACATTAGATTGCGTAACTAACTTCAAAATTCTGCATGTGATTAAACTTCTGAAACCTCTCCATGAGAGGTAATAGGTCGTGCATATGAAGTTAAGGCATGCATCGCTTTTCTTTCCGTTGGTGTTTTACAGTGCACGGATCACAATAACATGAATCAAATTTCTCAAATTTCTCAAGCTCAAAGCTTTTAAGACCCCGTTTACACTAGAACGAAAGTTTCTGGATTTGTAAAATTATACGGATTCATTGTTACACCCATGTATCGGATTCATCAGGTGTTTACACTACACTTTAGTTGTCTCTGTATGCGGATTTGTCCGTTTACACTCACATTACTTGTTCTTGGAGAATTGTTTGGTCGCAACGTTTGAATTTCTTCGGATTTGTCGAGCAAAACGTTTACACAAGAAAATTTTCCGGATTTAAATGTTTCTGGATACGAAGTTTCCACAAACTTTTACGGATTCAAAGTTTCCGGATACGGCTTAAAACCGAGTACATTTTCTATCGGATTCGTTGCTGCGTGTGTAAACAGCAACATGAATCCGGTACTAATACATTCCGCTTTCGTGATGAATCCGGAAACTTTCGCTCTAGTGTAAACGGGGTTTAAGCCATCCGGCGTAACTCACGGTCGCTTGATCACAATAACATTAATCAAATTTCCCAACGTTATTTTCTGGCTCCCTTTTGTTGAGCGTTAAATTCATGGTAGGCTTTATTCCTGCGTATGTTTAGTTTATTCTTGTCCCCGAAATAACGCCCGATGGCCAGATTGAACTAAGGATGGAGATAGATTAAACTGCAGATTTAAATTCGTGAACAACTCTGTTTACTTCGCCATTTTAGTTATCCTTTTCCCGCCCACACAGTACACAGTGTGACCAGATTAGCGGCAATTAAGTAAGGCCTACGTTAAACGTAGCATTTGATTTGGTCGCGTCGAATGATTTCGAACAATAGATAATGAGATGATGATGAGGTTTATTACCTCACCATCTATTGTGTGAATTGCATTTGACGCGACCAAAATGCGAGGTATAACCTGGGCCTGAAACAATGGCATGGCTTTACGAAATCAGACATGCACACGACGAACGAACCATCAAATTTTTAAGATAATTACACAGAGTGAGTAAAAAAAAACCTGACACCTTTGAAATTCAAATTAGCCGCGAACTTATGACTGGAATTTGACAATTCTCATGACAGATTCATGTGTACAATAAACAGGACGTGGTTAATTAATGCGAAAGTGTTTTTAAAAACTAATTGAAATAATTCATCGTGGCGCGTATGCTAGAAAAACGACCTTAGAATGCATTTGAACTCCGAAAGGGAACAAACTCTATGCTTTAGGTTAATAAATGATTCACTTATTTGCTATGCTTCGTATACCCATGAGATATTTTAGGCAACTTGTGTCACATTGCAGCCGGCGTTAATTTTTTTTACTCACCATGTATTACAAACATAAGATAAATAAGGGGCTGTTTACATGAGCCCGGTTACCCGAGATTCAACGAAGCGTGAGATGATTTTGAGGTATTGAAATGAGCAGATAACATGATCTTGGCAGTCGTATAATCACCACAACAATAGCATGTGCTTGTTTGGTGTCATAAAGACTTATTTCAATAAGTTCAATACCTCAAAGTCCTCTCACGCTTCGTTGAATCTCGGGTAACCGGGCTCATGTAAACAGCCTCTAAGTTACACTATTTACCATTAATATAATTTCTCCAGAGCAAATGAAATTAAAAAAAGTTTAGTAAAGTTTATACGTTCATTTACACGACACCAGACAAGCTTGGAAGGCATTCATTTGATGATTGTTTTCACCATCGACCATAAACTCAGACAGAAAATTACTTTAAAAATATTTCAGGAAATACCTGTAATATTTATTGTAAACTGAGACTTTGCAAATAAATTGTTTTTATTACATTGTTTCTTTTGTTGTGGCAGGTCAACAAATGTTAAAAAAGTTGTTTACAACTTGATTTCATTCATCTTCAGCCTGGTAAATAGCATAAACATACACACGAATACATATAAAACTCATGGTGCATTCATTATAATATCATGGCTGCCTCGAAATCCTTTGTTTTACTAGTACCGATTAACAACTAAATAACCCGATGCATATACATTAGGGACGATTACTAACTAATCGTACCTAATTTTTATGCCAAATACTCGCCTTTGTTATTTATTTATCTCCCAGTCAGAAATAAGCATACATCAATTAATTTTTATTGATTTTGTTAATATTTACACTCTCCACATTTGATTCCACATTTGCGCCTTGCAAAATTCCTCCGATGGCCAGAAATTCGTGACAGTCAGCGGTCTGGCGCCCAGTTTCATAAATTCAGCAGTTTTGCTTGTTGGCTCGGAGATTTTGCAAATAGCAGTAATGATCCTGAACCGAAATCAACACATTCCGAACGCACATCACTAATCTGTGATTACTTCTAGAGTTCTAGTTAAAGTGCCTATATCACTTGTGGGATCTTTACGGATTTGAATTGGGCTTGAAAAATTTGTTTATAAGTTCTACAACCTTTTTTGATACAATTAAATAGTTTCGAAAATACGTTGGTTGGGGGGACTGGGACTCAGGAATGATTTGCGAACACGCCGTGTTTTATAATGTAAACATGAAGAGTTTCACTGGCGATATAGTTTGCGCTTTTCAAGAAAAAAATGCGGGAACGGTGCGTTGTGTATGGCTGTAGCACTGGGCGAGTTTTTCTCAAAATATTTTACGTTATTGGAAGATAGAAGTAAAATTACAATTGATTATATTATGTTTGACAAGAACTCGGTTCCTGAGTCCCAGGCCCCCGAGCACGATGGAAATTTAGGCAAATCGTCATGTTTAGATGTAAATATTTCCGAAACTACCTAACTATATCAAAAAGGGTTGTAGAACTTATAAACTAATTTTTTAAGCTCTATTCAAATCCGTAAAGATCCCACAAGTGATATAGGCACTTTAATATTCATAAAGATGGCGGTCGCTTGCGCGAATATGCAAATAACGAGGGATTTTACGTTCAAATGCACAATGCATCTTCGGGAGATTTTCTTTGGGGAGGCTCTAAATCTCTTAAATCAAGGAAAAGGAAGGCTTCTCGTGAGTTTTATCCAGTAGGGAGATTGGTTTCAAAGAGGAGAGTGGGAAATACGGTAGGAAATTTTATTAAATTTATATTCTATATACATGCATTTGAAATCGTGTATTTAATAGTGTTTTACAGCGGCAGCTGATTCGAAATCCCGTTAAATAAGATTTTTTGATTTTTTTTTTTACAGACGGAATACTTGGTAAAATGGAAAGGATATAGTGCCTTCCAAAATACATGGAAGAGGAGGATAATTTAATTGCTCATCTCATAAGGTATTTTGTGACTGAGTATTATTAAATTCAGTACATTATAAAGTGTAATGTTTCTTATCAATGTTTGTGCACTCTCTGCATGTTTGAATGAGTTGATGTGCTGCAATTGATGATGCAAAACTGATAATGCAAAGCTGCTTAACAATTGTCAAATTGAAAACATGTACACTACATTAAATTCTTAAATGTGTACTTGATATTTTCTTTTTCAGGAGTTATAATAAGCCATGTATTCCATCTGAGAGATTATGTAGGAATCTCGACTTTCTACAGGTGGCTCTGACAACATTTGAAGTTAAAGTCAAAGAACAGGAACAAGTTAATTTTAGATTTTGAGCATGATGTCTTTAGATATTTATTTTATGGGAAGGGAAGACAATCAAGGGACAACAAGTATTTATTATTAGAAAAAAACGATTTTATTAGATGTGAGTTTGTAGACAATTGGGATGTAGTTTTAGATAGGATTGGTGATGGAGTAGCAATAAAATACCCTGTTAAAGTTAGGGCATTTTTAATGAAGTCACCAAAAAGTTTTAGCATGGCTAGTGGAACACTTCAGGAAAGTCGGCAGATGTTAATTGAAAAATTATCAATTGATTTTGTACGACAATCTGTTACAGTTCCTACAGTAGATTAAATATATTATTATTCTTAAGTTTTATATATGGTTTGTTATATACAGTTATTTTTATATTTCAGTTAATTGTTTGATAAGTTCTGCTTTACTCTTTCTGCTATATCCTTTTGCATTACGCCTTTTCAATTCTTGCCTTAAT